TGAGTATCGCATGGCCTTGCGGTTGTGTGTGAATTATGTCATTCAAGTTCATCTAGAAGAAACTTCGGAGAATTTCCTGCGTTACTTCCCTGTTCACTTTGTAGCCAGTCATACAGAGTTCCCTGGGTATCTTCAATATACACTTCAGCAGCTGAATAGTGAGAAATAAATTAGCTAAACTACGTCAAAAAAGAAGATTCATTCACAGGTTAGATCAGAATGTGTATCAGACATAAATCGCGACACCTGACCTCCTTTCTCCCGCGGAACTTCCTCGTTCTCTCGCGTTCTGCTTGCTTGTCTCGCGGATCGCACTAATAATGTAAAATGTCAGATTATATTGCGATATCGTATTTTAATCTCTCGGAGTTTCGTCTAATTCCTACTCGTACAATAGGTTAATGGCTGTTCAAAAAGTTTAATCGATAAGAGTTTCGTCTCGTCATGCAAGGTATTGGTGCTCGGGGACCTCCCCTCGGCTCCCCACTCCTCTCCTGTAATGCTCTTGCACCGTGCAGTTGCAGTTGCCAGAGTAGGCTGACAGGCATGTGTATGGAGCGCCTATCCAGCCCTCGCAGCCACTGCCAGCCTGCGTGTCTGATGGCTTCCAGATAGTGGCAGCCATTGATCGCGCGACGGCAGCAGCAGGCACCGCAGAGGCCATTGATTACGTCCTGCCTCTGTGCATTCCCTCCCTCCCTCCCTCTGCCCCCTTACCTGTTGCCTTGAGCTCGGCCTTGGCAGAGAGCTTAACAGGGGCTTAAGACAGTTGCTCCTCGTATCGGCGTGCTTTGTGTCCGTATGCAAATGTGCAGCGCCTCCGATACCCAGAGAGCGGGGGATGGCGCACCCCATTACCTCCCGGCCGCCTAATGGCTCGAATCCCGGCTCGTGATAACAGCTAAGTGCGCCATCACAGCTCTCCTTAGCCACGCGGGCGGATCGATCTATAACGATACGAGCACAGGCTGCCCGTTTGCGGGTTAATGAGCTGGAGATGAATTGGGATAATTGGAAATTAGCTATTGATAGGCAGAAAACATCGGGGGAAAATGAGCGGATTTTCTTGATAGGCATGAAAGTGGGTGTCCCCGGATGTAGGTGTCCAGGTAGGCTAACACCGCAGGGGCAAACCCAAGCCTCATCAGCTGTACCTGGTAATTATAACGCCATTAACTGTCATTTACGAATGCCACCCTAGAGCGTCCATCTCTACCTATACAAGCGCGGTGCACCGCTCGGCATACGCTATTCGCCCCTATGCACGGAGTCTTAAGGGCGAGGTTCCCAAGCTTCCCACCATCACTACCGGCCCACCCAGAGCCTCGTGGGTAATTGAATGTCGACGTCGACTGATCTTGGCGACGCACTTGGTCCGGGGAAGGGTTAACGTATTTCGCCCCAAGATTCGACGCCGCTTGTGAATGGGCGTTCGTCCCGGAGATCCACGCGATTTACGAGACGACACGTTCTCTTGCGTCGATGGGGACGCCCGCCCGCCCGCGTTGCTCTCTGATGCCCGAGGCTTCCCAGGGCTATCGTGTGTCGCCGCTCCGTGATTTTTTTCCGGATTGTTATGATGCAGCACTTTGGATACCTATTAAAAAGGAAAAAAAAGTCGAAGGCGTGGCAGTCGCCTTGCATATAACGGTCGGCCTTTTTACGTGTTAAGATCCGTTTCATGTTTATTTTGGCTGGACGTCGACTTTCTACTTTTAGGGCTTCTGGTGTTTTCTTAAGATGCTGGTGATAATGATGATGGTAGCGGCGAAAATATCCATGTGATTCATGCGTAGACAGTAGAATGAGGGATTTTGAACTGTGTTCCTGCCAGATCACTTCATTTTTTATTTATTTTGCGAAGGGAATGTGCGCGCACTCTCTCCCTCTCCCTCTCCCTCTCTCCTCCTCTCCCTCTCTCCTCTCTCCCTCTCCTCTCTCTCTCTCTCTCTCTCTCTCTCTCTCTCTCTCTCTCTCTCTCTCTCTCTCCTCTCTCCTCCCTCCCTCCCTCTCTCTCTCTCCCTCCCTCCCTCCCTCCCTCCCTCCCTCCCCTTTCTCCCTCCCTCTCCCTCTCCCTTCCTCTCTTCCGCTCCCTCCCTCCCTCCCTTTCTCACCCCCTCCCCAGCTCCATTCCCCGCACCCCCCCCCCCCCTCTCCCTCGCCATGTGAACTGCGAGTACGAAGCCCGATCCAAAGCACAGGTGATGCCCGACAAGCCCAGTGACGCAAGATCGATGCTTCTATAGACTTTCCGTTGATTCCCACCGTCCCCTTTCGTGCCCCCCCCCCCCCTACCTTTGGAATTTCGTCCCCATTGTGGCAGGCGCATTCTTGATCATCACCTCCCCCTTCTCCCCCCCCCCCCCCATCTTATCCTGATCCCCCCCTTTCCACGGTGCAGGGAATGAAGGAAAGGTGTGTGCGTGAGAAGAGCAGGCACACACACACACACACACACACACACACACACACACACACACACACACACACACACACACACACACACACACACACACACACAGAAGAGGGAGAGGAGACGGAGTATGTGAGTTAGTATTTCCTCTCTCCCCGCAAAATGTATACCTGGATCGAGTTTTTTTTCCCCATTGATATTTCAGAAAGAGTAAAAAAGAAATGACGTAATATTCTGAATGTTTCCTTCTTACCCTCTACACCCCCCCCCCTCCCCTCCCCACGTTGGTATTGTACAATACCAACGTGCGTGAAATGCCCTCGACCCCCCCCCCCCCCCTAAAAAAAAAAGAGGCAGTGGGGTTGACGGTGAAAACAAGTTCACACAGACCTGATTTTAAGATCCACAATCACGGGGGAAGGGGGGGGGGTGATGCCAACAGAGGTTATACGTGCGAGGTCCTGATGGCTTCGTCGCTGTAGGCAGACAATGCATGCTGGCGCTGTACTGTGGCTGTAGTTGGTGAAAGTTCGTGGCAGAAGGTACATGTCATAAATTCTGCGGTTCTCTTCTTTCTTTCTTCTGCTTCTTCTTCCTCCTCATCCTCATTTTTTTCTCTTTTTTTTATGGCGGGGAAGTTCTCTCCTATCTGGCTCGTGGGAGTGAGAGGTGGCTGCGGGAGAGACTGATTAAGTGTCGGTTTGCACAGTAAAAGGGGAGATGAAAACGGGAGGTGGCACGCATGCTGTTGGAGAAAACGGAAGGAGATTCGAAAGGTGTCGACGCAAACGGGACCTGCGCTTTATTTCTGGCGGGTCAGTCAAGTGGATGGGAGTGAATGGGGGGAAAAAAGAAAGGTTCTTTCTCTCTCTCTCTTCTCTTCCTCTTGGTAGCTCCTCCTCCTCTTCTCCCCTTCCCTCTCAACCCTTTCTCCTCCTTTCTCCTCCTTCCATCTCCTTCCTCCTCTGCCCCCCCCCCCCAAGAGCCTCAGGGTGGGTGCGCACCAAAGGGCGGCCTATGGGGGCCTGGCCGTTAAAATTCAATGAGATCGTAAATTAACACGTAGCGCCATTGTCAAGGCCGGGGTATGGGGGTGACGGTGGAGAAAGGAGGAGATGGAAGAAGAGGAGGAGGAGGAGGAGGAGGTCGAGGGAGGGGGATTTGGGAGGAGGAGGTGGAAGAGGAGGAGGAGGAGGGTGCTTGGGATGGAAATATGCCCGCCAGCTATGCGAGTGGAGAGGTCCTATTACGAAATCGTTTGTGATGATGCCACGGTTGTATGTTGAAGAGGCATGGCATATTCGTCGATCTGTTTTGGTCGGGGTGCTTGTAAATCTGGCGGGTGTCAGTCATAACTCACGGGTGAAGAGTTGGGTTGCTGCAACTGTCACGTGGCGAGATGAGCGAAGCACGTGTTGCGCATTCCTTCCTTTCTACTCGCTCCTATTATCTTTTTCTTTCCATCTCGCGCTCTCGCTCGCCCGCTCTTTCATTCACTCGTTCACATACATGCACACCCACAATCTCTCTCTCTGTCTCCTCCCTCCCTCCCTCCCTCCCTCGCTCTGTGCTCTCACTCCCGGCTCCTTTCATTCTATCTATCTATCTATCTATCCATCTATCTATCTACGTTGCAACATGAACGAGGGCCTGAAGAGCGCGGCACCGATCCGAGACCCGCTAAGGATCGCGAGGCGACTACGCGGGGCGCATCGCCTTGTCCGAGCGTTATTAATGGGCGAATGAAAGGCGCTTCCCCTCTGGCCGTGAGAACCGAGGAGGCCTCCCACCCCCCCCAGCCCAGACCAGCGCCCTTGCAATGCCCCGGTGACAGCGTCGCTCTTTGACCGGCCTCGCCAGCCACCTCCTCCCTGGCCCTCCCGAGCTTTCGTTGTTTTCTCTTGTGTCGTCCCTTCGTCCCTTCTCCCCTCTTTCCCCTTCGTTTCTGTCTCGTTTGGGTCGCCCTTTTCTCCATCCTTTCTCACACTTTATTATCTGCCCCCCCCCCCCCATTCACTCATTGGCCCTTCGCTTCCCTTCAGCCATTGCTTTGCCTTTCCTTCTTCCCCCTCCCGCCCTGTGTTTCTCCCTCCCTTCTATATTCCATTTGATTCTCCTCTCCCCCTCCCTTTCACATCTTTTCTCTTCTGCCCCTCTCCTATCCTTCCTCCTGAATGTCTTTTCTTCTGTCCCTCCCCCTCCCTATCACATCTCTTCTTCTCTCCCCTTTCCCCTCCCTTTCTCGTCTCGTCCCCTTCTCACCCCTTCTCTTCTGCTCCCTCTCCCCCCTCGGCCCTCCCCACCCTGAACCCTTCCACCCTTCCCTCCCCCTGCCTGTCGGTGCCGTCAAGCCCCTGTAGCAGGTTAAAAGGGAATATCCTTATCAAACTGTGATCCCCTTCCTCCGTGTGTTTGTGTTTGCGCGTGTATTTGTTTGGGCCTCACACCTCTGTTTTTGCAAAGAAACGGAGTATTGCTTGGGCGGAGGTGGGCTTTCAAGGCCGTTGTTCTTGTTTATGGTTTTGAATGTGCTCCGTTGATGTCATTTGTGCAATATTAATGTTTTGGCTTTTGTTTTCTCCTGCAGATACATCATACGAGAAGGCGTGTGGGTCGGACAGGCGTGGGTCAGCCCCCGCCACGCCCATCCTGGGGGCGCGGCCCACAGATTCAACTCCAAACAGATTGGTGGTTAGTATTTCAGTTTTCTGTTTATTGTGACCGTTTCTTGGTGTATCCTTGCCCCCAAGCGCTCTCTCTCTCTCTCTCTCTCTCTCTCTCTCTCTCTCTCTCTCTCTCTCTCTCTCTCTCTCTCTCTCTCTCTCTCTCTCTCTCTCTCTCTCTCTCTCATTCACTCACTCACTCACTCACTCACTCACTCACTCACTCACTCTCACTCTTAGTCTCATACCCCTCTCCCACACACACACTACAAGGAAAAGAAAAACAACGAAAGGCGCAAAGAAAGAAAATGAGAGGAAAGCCAACCTAAACAAAGAAAAAAGGAAATTCAATACAAAAAAAGCGCCGGTTCTTACGACACTCCCTTCGACTAGGGCGCTACGAACTCACACTTCCTCTGACGGACGGCAGTGTGTGAGTGGCGTGCGTGGTGAAGGAGACCAGGGAATGAGCTCTTTGAACTATGAACACTGAACAATGAACTTAGTAAGATCGCGTGGGTGCCAGTGGCTGACCAGATGACCCGAGTTCTGACCTGTCGTCGGAGTGACCTGTTTGGACTGCAGAGTGACAGGTTGCAGCAATAAACCTTTTATCTCTTCTCGCGTTGTGACCTCCCCAGCGTCAGCTATGCAAGCACATTACCCCTATATGTTGCAACAGGCAAGTTTGTATAGTTTATGGTGCCAGACGTCATCCGTTGCCCGCTGGTTCTGCGCGCCTGCTTGCCCCCTTGGGAGTCCTGCCCCGCACAGGCTCCCACACGTCGCTTAACGGTTCACGGCCTCTCTTGCAGCGTTTCCGACACACTTCTGGGGAAACGAGAAGGCCCCGCTGTGAGAAAGGTTTTGCCAATCGGCCGTGGACTTCCAGTGCGTCGCTGTCTGTTTGCTCTTTGCCTCTAGAAATCGTGCGGTGCAGTCATCTTGGATATGCCCTCCTCACCCTCCTCACCCTCCCCTCCCTCTGCTCCCCTCTCCTCCCCTCCCCTCCCCTCCCCTCCCCTCCCCTCCCCTCCCCCCTGCATGACGGCCATCCGGCGTGACGCGCAGGACTGCCCCAGTCCAGCCAAAGTTCACGGGCGTGCGCTGCATAAGGACATGCCTGGCCCCGAGCACCTTGCATGCGTTCCCTTACGTCAGCCTGCTCATCGTACGGGAGTTTCCACCAGTGCGGCTGCATTTGCGGTGGCGGCAGCATCCCTC